TCTACTCTCTTTCCTTTTCCTGTGCATCTGTTTTGTGAGATTAGAAGGCTAGCAGGCTTCCAACTCACTCCTGGAATGTAAGAAGGATAAGTTAGGCAGCCAAATGAAACTGAAAGTACTTTCTGTTGTGAACTTTGACAATGAATTGCTCCACAATGCAGCTACAGAGGTCAGTGAGGGCTTGTTTTAAAGTGTATTTACTGCTTGTCAATAATTTGCAAATATTTGAATGTCAATAGCCTGGCCACAGTTATACATTCATGCTACTGGCTGCATTATACAGATTATCTCTTACAATATTGATGTCGCTGCCTCTCAGATTTTAGGCTCCGTTCACACCAATGCGTTTTTTAGTGCTTTTTGCACAAACGCACTGCAGTCCATTTAACATAGCTACCTATGGAACATGTTCACATCTATGCTTTTTTAAACTGCTGTGTTTTTGGAAAGGGTCGGTGACTTTTTTAAAAGCAAAAAGTGTGTTTTTGATACAATAGCGTTCAATGGAGAATCTGTTGAAATGCATAATAGTGCGTTTTTGACACGTTTTGCATTTTTATTGTGTCTAGCAACAAAAAAAAATTCCACTTTAACAAGAAAAAAAAAAAGAGCTGAACACAATGCAAAAACTTGTAAAAATATCTCAAACACGTGTAGAAAATGCGAAGCACACTGCAAAAATCACTGGAGAAAGCATCAAATGCAAAATGCATAAATGTGAACCAAGCCTTAAGCTGTCAGAAATTTACAGTGTCATGACAGTGCTAGGAAGTGATCTGTGGGGGAGTGGACACAAAGGAAATGCTTCTTCTTGCCTGCAGCAGACTTTTAAAATGCATCTCTTAGCCTTGCTAGGGTGCTGGAGCTCTGTGCTTCTCGTTAATATTAAAAGATGACGTTTTTTAAAAATGATGCAATTGCTTTATACTATGACGTGTGAGGAATATATTCATTCAGATGTAATAGTGAAGAGTTAAGGATAGGGCCTATTTAGTAAGGCACACATCTTAAATAAATGTATTATTAAAAGGATTTATCAAAAGGGCAAAAGACATCCAACAGTTGCTTGCTTACTTGAAAATCAGTTCCAAAAGTATGTATCTGTGTAATTATTTCCATATTCCTTGTATCCTTCATCATATCCCCACTCATTCCTGAAAAGCTTATTTTCTAATGTATAACATTGTTGATTCATATCAAATATAAATCATTTCTAGGTTAAGCTTGGTGTCCCTTGACAGTCATATAATTGCTTTCATTTATCTTTTGAATAGAATAGTCTTTTAATTCTGAGAAGACATATTTAATCATCTGGAATCTGCATTTAACATTCCATGTTAGTTATTTTTACTCTGAAAAATGAAATACCCCAACATTATAAACAGCATATAATAAAATCCCCCCAAACTCATAATGTAATCTCCTACTGTAATTCCTATCCATTTATGGGATATTCCTTAGGTAATATTTTAAAAAAATCCCATATACTGCATGTATTACAGAATGCGCAAGGCAAGGGTTATCACCAAAAACCATTATCCAGCTTACTGTGTATAGCATATAAATTTGATCTCCAGGCAGATTTTTTAAAATTGTCAGTTATTGCAAATACTTTTTTTTTAAAAAACAGCTAACACGAGTACCAGAACTGTTGATAATGGTAATACCTGTAGGACCCTTCATAGCAATACTCAGACTGGGAGAGTGAAGGCCAACACATACAGTATCTCAACAGTGAACATGCAGGCTAAAGGAGAGAACAGAATGATGACTCATCAGTGTCCTGTTTCTCTTTTATTATCCAATCATCATGTTGGTTGTGTGTTCTTGAGTTTAAAGGGACACTGTCACCTTGCTCAGTCGATGCAAAATGACTCCATACACCCTGATGCTGTCCTTACCTGCACTTCCTTGCTGTCCATTCCCTTGTCATAGCAGGCTTGGAAATCAACAGTTTCAGCAACCCAGGGAAGCAGTGATGTCACTTCCTCAGTAATGTGACAGTGCTCAGGTATAGCAATTGGTCACAGGCTCCCTTATACCTGGAAGTGCTGTCTAGTGCCATCGACTGTGACCAACAAAGGAAAAGTGGTGAGTATATGGTAGTCATGAGGGAGCTTTGCATGAGCAAGGTGGCAGTGTCTCTTTAACCCCTTAACTCCACTTCCTGGTGGCACTTTAACCACTTGTGGACCGCCCACCCGCAATGTACTGTGGAGGGTGGCCCTTCCTGGCACAGCAGTGTACCTGTACGTCACCGGCCTCAACCAGGTACCTGTCCACTGACTCCCACTGTGATTGAACACAGAAGGAATTTGTCAACAGGTTCTGGCCAGTGATTCATTGCCGGGACCTGCTGATTGGCTGTGTCCAATCACAGCCAAGAGCCCTGTGTTGATAATCAACACACAGCTCTGTACAGAGGGAACAATATATCTGTTTCCTCTCCCTACAAAGAGATATTTAGTAAAAAGCAGTGCACAATACATGCATTATACATTGTTAGGCACACATTTAACACCATTGATTATCCAAAATGCTAACCTCTTCCCAGCCAGTGTCATTAGTACAGTAACAGTATATAGTATTATCACTGATCACTGTACTAACGTCACTGGTGATGTCAGTGGTAGTATTTATTCAGCTCCCATCCAGTGTCAGTTAGTGTCCGATTGCTCCGCTGCACTATCACAGTCCCACTATAAGTTGCTGATCACTGCCATTAGTAGTATTAAAAAATAAATAAATAAAATAATCCATTAAATATACCATGGTTTGTAGTTTGTAGACACTATAACTTTCATGCAAGCCAATCAATATAAACTTATTGGTATTTTGTTAACCAAAAACATGTAGCAGAAAACATTTTGGCCTAAATTTGTGAAGAAATTAGATTTTTTTTTTTTTTTTTATTGAATGTGGTTAATAGTAAAAAGTAAACAGCATTGTTTTTTTTTTTTTTTTTTTTTTTTTTTTCCGTTTCTATAGTAAAGAATAAAAAACCCAATTGTATTTGTGTGAAAAAATTATATCAATTTCATTTGGGTACAGGGTTTCATGGCCAGCAATTACCAGTTAAAGTAGCACAGTGCCGAATAGCAAAAAATTGCCTGGTCATGAGGTAAAACGGTGCAGAGCTGAGTTCGTTAGTTGTGCTTTAATGACAAGAAGGCAGCACGAATTCTGTATCATGTGACCCCCTGTGATTGGTTCTCACAGCTGTCACAAGATCGCTGACTCCCGATCAGAAGCCTTTTTCTGAGAACTATCAGTGACAGTTCAGTCCATGTGCAGGGAGGGCACAGTGAACACATTCTCAGCACACAACCTCATGTACCATAAACACATATATCCAGTGACTGGCCCTTAAAGCACACCTCTTTTGCTACCTCATATATGGGTTACATGGTTGGCGAGAGGTTAAAGATCAGGCTGTGCTATTTGGATCACAAACAGTGCTTTGTAGGAATAAAAATCAAATGTATTTAGCTATTTGCCTGGGTTCCTTTGTACTATATTGTACCATATTCATTATAAAGTGGGAGAACTTGTTTGTGATGGGTGAGAGGGAGAGAAAGACCTGTCTTTATGACTTGGACCTAAGATGTAAGCCTATGGTCGCAGAAGACCCGTTATTACAAACATTGGCATTGTTAACATCCTAACTTAGCCAGGACCTCTTGGGGCTTGGAGACACCTTAATGGGGTAAAATAGTGCGGTGCATTGTGGAAGTGGCTAAATGTAGGTGTGGTCTAATTGGGTGTGGGTAAATAACCATCTCTACAGCAACATTTTAATTAGTGATGATAAATACTGGAGAATTGCCAACTGACATTACTTTTCATACAATAGCTATACAGCAGTACATAGTGACACCAGCACTACCTACTGTATGGGCTCCACGGTGTCTCTAAATACGTAACTGTTGTAATGATTAATGCTTGTAAATATCCCCACTTTTCTCTACTCCCTTTACCTCTATGAGTAAGCCTACAGGGGTGAAAATTGGGCTGTTTTTCCCAGGAAATGTATTATACCCTTAAACAGATAACTAGTTATTTGTAACAGTCAGAGTTTGGAGTGTAGATGTGATAGGGGAACATCATGGGTGGAAACTACTTATTGGGGGGATTTACTAACATTGGAGCACTCAATATCTGCTGCAGCTGTGCGTAGTAGCAAATCAGCTTCTAACTTCAACTTGTTCAATTAAAATTTTACAAAAAAAAACGAGACTGATTGATTTCTATGCAGAGCTGCACCAGATTGTGAATGATCCAGTTTTAGTAAAACTCCCCCATTGTCTTATTCTTCTATATAATTCTAACTATTCAGGCTGACTTCATATGTGTACCAAATACCTTTTTCTTGATTTCATGATGATTTTATTTAAGAAATCATTAATAAAAACGCTATTATTAACTGACATTGGAGGGGATCTACTAAAACTGGTGCACACAAAATCTGGTGCAGCTGCGCATAGTGTAAGCATAAGCTTTTAGGTTTTATTGTCAAAGTTTAATTGAACAAGTTGAAGTTAGAAACCGATTGGTTACTATGCACAGAACCACCAAGTTCAGTGTGCACCAGTGTTAACAAATCTTCCCCATTATGTTTTGTTCACTCTAAGTCCTATTTTTTAAATTTATTGAACTGTGTCAATATTTAGGAGATGTGGTGCACATTGATAGTATAATCCATTTCACAAATACTGTTGATTAACTTTTCTGGCTTCAACTGGATTTCCTAAATGAAATACTTGCAGCCAGAGAGAGCCAATGAACTAGCATTTTTGGAAGGATGTCCTCTATTGCAACATCTATATTTTTAGCAGTACAGATTTCCTGTAAGCAAAAAAATTATTACCTAACCTGGGTAAGGTATGATAACTAGTATTCTACTCTATGCATTACAAATTATAAATAATATAAAAAATATTATAAATAAAAAAAAAACAGAATATTGCAATAATTCTTTTTGTTTTCACTTTGTGTTGCAGAATGTCTATATGGCACCTACGGAATGGAATGCAGAGGAATCTGCAATTGTCCATCTGGAATTTGTGATCGTGTGACAGGAAAGTGTCTGAAATTTCCATTCTTCCAATTTACAGGAGCCAAACCACATAGTAAACTAAGACTTAATCCTGGTAAGATTCCTTTAAAATGTTCGGAATAATATAATATATATTATCATGCGAATAAAAGAGACCCTATGACATAAAGACACTGTTTGCAGATAACCATTTCCAACAGAAAGTTATACTTACCAAGCCATGTTCTCACGCTGCAAACTTCATCCCTGAAAACTGTTAGTTTCAGACACCTCCTGACAGTGAAAAGCTGCACATCCCCTGCCAAAACTGACAGTCGGGGCTGAAGCATATGAGTAGCTCACTCTTCAACCACTACATTCATAAAGTGTCTTGTAGTCTTTTCAAATAATACAAGGCCTTCTGTGATTGGCCCACTTATTTAACTCCCTAATTTATCCAAAATAAAGGTCATGTCTAATATTTACTGCTAATTTGCCCCAAAATTTAATGTGTGACTATATCCCCCTCAGAGATGGAGGGGTCCATTTTTTATTGGTCTTCATATGAGTCACCCCTAGCTCTCTTAGTAGTAAGCTGTCATCATACTGTTGTTTCTATTGGTTTAACCAAAAGACTCTGCCTTTTCTAAAAAAAAAAGCACCAGGCCCTCTGCCTTTAAGCAGGAATGTCTATTTCTTGGGTTTCTCCTGGGCTCTGGTTATTGTTTGCTTCTGTCGGCTTCTGTAGAGTGACAATAGCGTAAGAGGCTGCGCTAATCAGAGTTTTAAATATTTATATCTCCCTTGCTAACCACTGTGAGGTTTTTTGCCAGTGGTGCGGGTTGAGAGAGCATATAAATACTCAGTGATCTTGGGAATGTAGTCTTTTCCCTCTGCCTGAGGGAGGGATGTGGATAGCTGTCTGATTTTCTTAGGTCTACTGATTAAGGGAGTTGACCACGTGCCTGGATAGATGCCTAGGTCTGAGGCCTAGTATGCTGAACATGGGAATGGAAGCACATGGAGAAACTGCAGCCTAATTGGGAAACCTGAGAATCTGGGTGAAGCTTGTTTCTGTACCTGAACCAACAAATGTCTTACAGTCAGAAGCTGATTTCACAGAATATCAGGTTGGCTTGAAGGTTCTTTACCTGTAAAGACTGTTAAGTATCTTTTGTCTATCACCTGGAGTCTGCTAAGCCCATACGTGTCCCAACCCTCTCTCCTACATTTGTGCCAGAAAATCAACCTGAAAGAAAGCAGTGTTCAAATTTCATATTGCATAGGATACCCATTTTATATTGCTGCAAAAGCAGATCTGGGTACAGGGGATACACTATTTGTTTCAGAAAATCCAAACCATAGGATAAATAGGATAAAGAAAAAAATTTAGTTTAGTTATATATTGATCCAAAAATCATCATTTGTGTTTTATACTGCTATTAGCTTATATAAGAATATCATAACATAATTTTCAAAAGAAAGAGGGATGAGAATACAAGCCCCAATATAACACATTTCAAGCACTGAGGGCTGGACTCTGTATAGAGAAGTGTCAAGGTATCTTGTAAGCAGGGGCGGCCTGACAACTCATGGGGCCCCCGGGCAATAGGGGATCATGGGGCCCCTGTATCCTTACCCAAACTCAAAAAAGCCTATGAAAAAGGTACCAGGGGCATCTCATGGGGCCCCCTACTGACCCCGGGCCCTCGGGCAGTGCCCGAGTTTCCAAATGGTTAGTCCGCCCCTGCTTGTAAGAGAGAAGGAGAACAGAATGAGGACACCATGACTGTGATGATTCATAGTACAGTGGACAGTCTGGAGGTGGGAAGGTGCTAACAGTTCACTTACATGAACTATTTTTTTTTCTATTGGACAGGAGTTGCAATTTAAACAGAAAACAAAAATCATAAAAATCTGTTCTTTTTTTACATCTGTTTTTACACATCATATATAAATAGATTCACCCTGCAGAGTTATTTATCATCTGGGTTAAATATCATCTGATTAAATGCTGGGTGAGATTATGCAGGCCATAGATGGGGAGAAAACCGTCCGAAAATTCATCCAAAAAAATAATCGGCCAATTTTTGGATCGTTGGTGGCTGAATTGTTCTGCTGGTTTTCTTGATTTTGACACATTTTTTTAATCGTTCATATTGGGGAAAAAAACGGCCGATTTTGCCCATCGGCCGATTTTCACGGCAATGATGGGCAAATCGGACGATCTTTTTCCCGATTAAAAAAATGCGCATGAGCCATGACCAAAGAAAGAGAAGAAGAACATCTGTATCTAATTGTATCCATACAAATAGATACAATGTTTGCAACCGCAATACTTAGAAATGTCAAATCTATTAGCGGTGTCCCTGCAGAGAGCTCCGCTATGATATTTGACATTTAAAAGTGTAAGGGTTGCAATATTGTATCTATTTGTATCCGAATAGAAACATCTGTATCCGAAATGGATACAAATAGATACAATGTTGCAACTTTTTTTCTTATTATTATTCATATTCTATTTCTTCTTCTTTTAAATGTCAAATATAGCGGAGCTCTCTGCAGGGACACCGCTATTATATTAATTGCCGGCCGTAGACGGGATGAAAATCAGCCGACTTTTTTTACCAATGGTGGTAACGTCGGCTGATAGAACGACCGATTTTTCGTTTTTCTAAAAAAAAACGGACGGTTTTCTCCCCGTCTATGGCCTGCATTACTGTGTACTTTTACCCAAGCTCCAAAGTACAAACCTCACTTTGTGTCTTTGTACATGTCCCAACTCAAATATACCTCTGCCATCTGGTATACAGTGGGGATCGAAAGTTTGGGCACCCCAGCTAAAAATTTGTATTAATGTGCATAAAGAAGCCAAGGAAAGATGGAAAAATCTCCAAAAGGCATCAAATTACAGATTAGACATTTTTATATTATGTCAACAAAAGTTAGATTTTATTTCCATCATTTACACTTTCAAAATAACAGAAAACAAAAAATGGCGTCTGCAAAAGTTTGGGCACCCTGCAGAGTTAATATCTTGTACTGCCCCCTTTGGCAAGTATCACAGCTTGTAAACACTTTTTGTAGCCAGCCAAGAGTCTTTCAATTCTTGTTTGAGGTATCTTTGCCCATTCTTCCTTACAAAAGTCTTCCAGTTCTTTGAGACTTCTGGGCTGTCTGTCACGCACTGCTCTTTTAAGGTCTATCCATAGATTTTCAATTATGTTGAGGTCAGGAGATTGTGAAGGCCATGGCAAAACCTTCAGTTTACGCCTCTTGATGTAATCCCCCATGGATTTCGAGGTGTGTTTTAGGATCATTATCCATTTGTAGAAACCATCCTCTCTTTAACGTCAGCTTTTTCACAGATGGCATCAAATTATCATCCAAAATTTGCTGAAATTTTATTGAATCCATTTTTCCTTCTACTCGTGAGATGTTCCCTGTGGCACTGGCTGCAACACAACCCCAAAGCATGATTGATCCAACCCCCTGCTTAACAGTTGGACAGAGGTTCTTTTCATTAAATTCTGTGCCCCTTCTTCTCCAAACGTACCTTTGCTCATTCCGGCCAAAAAGTTCAATTTTAACCTCATCGGTCCACAGAACTTGTTTCCAAAATGCATCAGGCTTGTCTATATGTTCATTTGCAAAGTTCAAACGATGATTTTTGTGGTGAGGACGTAGAAGAGGTTTTCTTCTGATGACTCTTCCATGAAGACCATATTTGTACAAGTATCTCTTTATAGTGGAATAGTGTACCACAACTCCAGTGTCTGCCCGATCTTTCTGGAGGGATCGTGCAGTCAAACGTGGGTTTTGAATTGTTTTTCTCACAATCCTGCGAGCTGTTCTGTCTGATATTTTTCTTGGTCTTCCAGATCTTGCTTTAACTTCCACTGTTCCTGATGACTGCCATTTCTTAATTACATTCCGAACAGAGGATATTGACATCTGAAAACGCTTTGCTATCTTCTTATAGCCTTCTCCAGCTTTGTGAGCGTCAACTATTTTCAGTTTCAGTTTTCTAGACAACTGCTTAGAAGAACCCATGGTGCTGATTGTTGGGGCAAGGTCAGATGAGTCTGGGCATTTAAAACCTTTGAGATTGACATCACCTGGTCTTCCCAGACAATGATTGAGAACAATCCATGACACTGGCAGGTCTCAGCTTTGCAAAGGGGGCAGTACAAGATATTAACTCTGCAGGGTGCCCAAACTTTTGCAGACGCCATTTTTTTTGTTTTCTGTTATTTTGAAAGTGTAAATGATGGAAATAAAATCTAACTTTTGTTGACATATTATAAGAATGTCTAATCTGTAATTTGATGCCTTTTGGAGATTTTTCCATCTTTCCTTGGCTTCTTTATGCACATTAATACAAATTTTTAGCTGGGGTGCCCAAACTTTCGATCCCCACTGTATGTTTTGTTGCATGCAGTTCTCCGGTAATATATAGCTAAGGCATAAAGTGTGCCTTTAGATTAACCAGAGAGGAGTTATGGCCCATTTACACCAGTGTGCTGAGGAAATGCAGGCTCCTTTAGCATGTGGAAATACATTTGAAAGGTCTCCTGAAATCTCACCACATCTAAGCTGCCCACTAAATCCTTCACTCTGGGGTTAGTTGGGTGGAAAGCTCAGGAGACTGTTTGCACTCTGTGTATAGTCAACTCCAAACAATGTACTGCACATCAATGACATCACATGAATCCAAGTTTAGTGATGGACAGCACACACTGCATCCTTAGGTCCACCTCGCTAATGCATTTCTCCCAACCAGGGCCTGAATCATAGAGAAATGCATGTTTAATGTATTGTGTTAAGAAGTCAATTCACTTTTAATGAGCTGGCAAGGTTCTGTAATGCACTTAAACCATGCTTGCAATTTTTTTTAAAGCAGTATGTCACTGTTCACAGATTGTTCACACCTGTGCATTGTTGTGCGCTACATCACAAGTATGTTACGTTGTGCTAGGTGCATTGGGAATGCATTCAGAATTAATAGCATCTGTAACACACTGTTTATGCATTGCAGTAAGGAAGTGAATGAGCCCGGAACCATTTTGTGTTCTGCAACTTAAATTTTGTTATAGGGGAACATAAAAGCACACAGGAGATTCACCTTCCTCTGGCTTGTCTGAAGTTGTGTGTGTCTTTATGTGCAAACTGAGCAACAGTCATGGATATTTACAGCTAATAAAGATATACATGATCTACCACAGCAGGTACACATGTTATGTGAACAGATGGGTTTACCAATACACTGTTGAATAAGCGATATAGCTACCAAAGCATTTATATCTAGTTAATGTAATTTATTTTTCATGTAGCAAACCTTATAAGCACTTGGAAAACATTTTTTTGCATTGCCATTGCATCAGCTCAATCACAAGAGCCAATATATTGAAGTAATGGATAACCCATGCCATTTTATATGAAAAACTGCGCTCACAGCAGCCATATAGTCAATGTGTGCTGGGCTATTAGGGAAAGATGACAATTCTCTGTAGGGAGAGATACTGATTTGTTTTATTTTCATGTAGTTATTGGTTTTTTACCTTGGTACATGTCCCCCACGTCAGTATCCTGCTCCCCATGCTATTTTTCCTAGAAACAGCCAGAATTGAATAACAAGATTAATCTGCTTTATACCTAGTACACACAATCTGAAAATCATACAAAAAATACCGCTGTCAAAGAGATCTTATGATATTCTGATCAATAGTACAGAGCTTTTGAGAGCTGATTATGACAGTTCATATGAAATTATCTGAAGAGACAAACACATTATTCGTGTTTGTATAGTATTCATCCAAAAGAATAGGAAGACCAAGACCATGCATGGTCAAAAATGAAAGAATACATTACAATACAATACATTAGATCATCTTGGGAAGCTGTACTCTGTCCAAGAATTTATGAACTTTAACCTCTTTTTCCTCCTATTTTCCTCCTATTTTTGGTAGGAGACTAGCATGTATGTACGAGGCTTTAGACTTCAGGTTAGCTGAAAAGTTTGTAAACCTCAAACTCTGAGCAAGATTCGTGAAGGTGTTCACATACCAAACCCAGGAAGATTTACTCAATCCTTCATTCCTAGTGTTGTATAGTCTTTGGCTGGGGAGATAATGGATTCATTCACATGCTGGGCACAGGTAAGGCTCATGTACACTGGCCCCAGCAGAGCACAAACTACATTCTGTGCACACCAACCTGTGATCACTTATTAGCAATAATCTAAAAAAAAAAATCAATTACAAGTAATTTGTTCAGTGTTCAAACAATCACCAAATGTCTGAGAATAAAAAGTTAACAATTTTTTAAATTCATTCTAGATTCTGAAATGGCTTCTGGAGATGGAAATAGTGTCAAGCAAGAACTTGCCAAGGAAAAGTCTTCTCGCTCACCTGGAATAAAATGGCTAAACCCACGCTGATTTTAATTTATAATTGTTTCTAAGAACTATCTTGTGGATTTGAGGCTGAAAAATGTGCAACACAATGCAATGGAATACCACCAGAAGGGGCTGGATGTAGTACTTATTTGGTGGTCAAATGACACTGTTAATTTATAAGAATAAAAAAGTTATTAGAGACAGCGAAGGTCATTACAAATCAGATATATATCTTTGTTCCGTGATGCAAAAATCTGTTCAGTCTAAATCCTTCTTGTAAATGTGTAGTTATATAAACTTTATTTTGGTTTGTTTTCAAAGGATTTTTAAATGTTGGATATATCTTATTGCTTTCATGTGTATTTAAATAAATGCTTAAATGCTTTGTATATTGGTCTCTGCTTCCTTATAGAGTACATTTTTTATTAAACCTAGAAGCCATGTTTTCCATACATTGCATTCATGATAGCTTAAATGCCTGAAACAGCTGTATGTCGTTTTGGATAAATGATTCTGTAATGTTAGTGTACTAAAAAGTACCAGCTGGAATGAGGCTTAATTAGTTTTTTCCCGCTTATTTAAAGTCCATCTAAAGCTACATGTCCATCTAAGACTACTCTGTGCACAGGTTGACAACACTGTTGTGCAATTGCATAGTACAATGAACACCATTCTCACCCTTTTACATAACGTTGAAAAGTAATAGATTTGCTGGTATGATCAGAAGATTTAAACAGAAGAGTGTAAATTAAAAGAGCCCTGTACTTGTCTACATTAATTTTTGATGCAGCACTAATAAAATTCAAAATATTTCATAAGTCAAATCATTACTGGTTCTTTATGGGGAAACACTGTCAGTTATCTTACAACAAAAGGCAGTCCTAAGCAGATCTTATCACTTTCCTGTTGTCCTGGCTAATCTTGTCAACTTCCATTTTTTAATTCTCTCAGAAAACTTCATAGGCCATTAAACCTGCACTCCATCAATTAACCAAAATCTAATTCTTAGGGTGGTATTCCCACCCCCATGCAAAGGTTATCTACTTAATAGTAGGGATGAACTGCACATACCTGGGTTTGATTTGAGGCAGATTTTCAGAACACAAGAAAAGTCCAAGTCAGAACCACTAGGCTAACAGTTGAGAGCTTGTCAAATGACATGAGGGCAGGCACTGACCTAGTAAAAAATAAAAATTCCATTTGGTAGAGAGTAGTGATTTTATTAATGCTTTAAAGGCAACATTAAAAATGCAACATTCCTTCACATAACAGGCCTGTGGGATGCCCTGACCCTTTGTGTAATGTGTTGCATCTATACAATATATACAATATACTGCAGGAAAACTGATATTTACAAAGAAAAAAAGCCATTTAAATTGCCAGCAAATAACAGCTCTCAGATGCTTACTTCTGTTTGGAGATTCCTTTCATCTACAATCATGGCCAAAGATATTTGCACCCCTGCATTTCTGTTAGATAATGAACCACTTCTCCCAGAAAATTGCAGTAATTACAAATGTTTAGTCATTCTCATGTTTCTTTCTTTTGTTTGTATTGGCTTGACACAAAAACATGGAGAAACAAAAAGCCAAATCTAACGCATTCCACACAAGACTCCAAAAATGGACTGGACAAAAATTATTGGCACCTTCAATTTAATATTTGGTAGAACACCCCTTGGAAAAAAACTGAAATCAATCCCTTCCTGTAACCATCAATGAGTTTCTTACACCTCTCCACTGGAATTTTGGACCACCATTTTTCAACAACTGCTCCAGATCTCTCAGATTGGAAGGGTTCCTTTTCCCAACTGCTGTTTTGAGATCTCTCCACAGGTGCTCTATGGGATTGCGATCTGGACTCATTGCTGGACAGTTCAGTACTCTCCAGTGCTTTGTCTTAAACCATTTCTGGGTGCTTTTTGATGTGTGCTTTGTGTCATTGTCCTGCTGTAAGACCCATGAACTTTGATGGAGACCCAGCTTTCTGACTCTGGGCCCTACATTGCACATCAGAATTCTTTGGTAGTATTCAGATTTCATAATACCATGCACACAGTCAAGACATCCAGTGCCTGAAGCAGCAAAGCAACCCCAAAACATCAGTGAACCTCCACCATGTTTGACTGCAGGGACTGTATTCTTTTCTTTAAAGGCCTCATTTCGTTTTCTGAAAACCGTAGAATGATGGGCTTTATCAAAAAGCTGAAATTTGTTTCATCTGTCCACAGAACATTCTCCCAAAAGGATTTTGGCTTCCTTTGGTAAGTTTTGACAAACTCCAATCTGGCTTTTTATGTTTCTGTATCAGCAGTGGGGTCCTACTACCATAGCGTCCCTTTTCATTCACATAGCAACATATAGAACAAGCTGATACAGTTGTACCCTGTGCCTGAAGGTCAGCTTGAATTTGTCTGGAAGGTTTTTTATCCACCATTCGTACAATCCTTCGTTGCAATCTTTGATTGATTTTTGTCTTTCGTCCAGGTACAGGGAGATTAGCTACAGTGCCATGGGTTATAAACTTCTTGACAATAATGCACACAGTGGACACAATGGACTTGTAACCTTGAAATTGTTCATGCTTTTCCATAATTTTTGTTCTCAAATCCTCAGACAGTTCTTTGCTGCTCTTTTCTCTTTTCCATGTTCTATGTGGCACACAGAGACATACAACAGAAAGGAGTAAATGTTTCATGATTTTAACTGGTTGTCGGTGTGATTTCTATATTGTTAGCACCTGTTAATTGATACAGGTGAGTTTATTTACAAATTACAGGAGCATCAAAACTTGCAATGCAATTATTTCTAAGAATTTTGAGATGGTGCCAATACTTTTGTCCAGTCCATTTTGGGGGTTTTGAGTGGAATGTATCAGATTTGGCTTTTTTCCCCACTTTTTTTGTGTCAGACCAATACAAACAAAAGAAATAAACATGAGAATGCCTAAACATTTGTAAATGCAACAATTTTTCTGGAAGTTGTGCATTATCTGACAGAAATGCAGGGCTGCCAATATTTTTGGCCATGACTGTATACCAGACCTTTATGAGGCTCTGGTATACTGTAGATGTTAATGGGGCACTCCAGGCAAAAATAAAGAAAAATAAATATCACTCTGTTTCTCCTGCCTACCCACCCCCAAATCCCCACCAAATCCTTACCAAATCCCCGCCAGACTCTTATCTAAGCATGCAGCCTGGCCAAGAAAAGTTTGGGGAACAAATATTTGGCCCCTCTCCTGAACCATACCAGGCCACATGCCCTCAACATGAATGTGTAAGCGGTATATAGTAACAAACAACAAAAGGAAAAAGCAAATATAAACACAAACAGTTTTAGTAAAGTCTTTCAATAAAAAAAGCCCCATGATGTAAATCTACTGTCAATCACTTTGTCAGAAATGTAGATCAACATCAATCACAAAAAAATTACGCCTGTCAACCCGTTATAAGAAAAAAACCCACCAACCACTGATATGCTCCCCTCCCAATGTGGTTCCCCTCTGATGACCTACCAATCCAAATGTCATCTGTTAATACATGATGGCAAGTGTCAGATCCAGTGGATGACTGCTAAACATGCACAATATGGACATGTGCTTGTCCCCTCCTTTCCTCCTGCCAGGCTACATGCTCAGACAACAGTCTAGCATAGATTTTTATTTTTGCAAGGACATCCCCCTTAAAATCCATACAATAGAATTTGGGGGGCATGCCATTTTTTTAATTTTTTTGTTTTTGCATGGTGTCCCTCTTAAAATTTTTCCCAGACCTGAAGTACCTATCCCTAACTACGTAATTAAAATGACCAGGGATTCCTGGCCAACAAGTGAATGTAGCAGATTGATGTCACTGCTTGCTTATAGAAACCAAAAAGAACTATGGGACTTTCCTGGTACAGTGAAGGACAGACACATCTCTATTAAAATTACAATTTTTATTAAATCGTATATAAAAAGCATTTTACATGCTTTTAAACCAATATAGTGTCTAAACAGCCCTAACACAGCATCATTCTAAACATTATCCCTGCTATTATGTCCTCAAAGAGGTCAATGCGTTTCGCATCTCAGCTTCTTCAGGACCATGAATCTTGGGGACAGAGGTCAATAAAGTCTGACTAGAGAAAAAAATTAAAAATATAAATATCTTGACATATACATGGCAATATATCTCAATCATGCAAATTACCTTCTACAAACTTGCATGTTGCCTAGGTGCATGGCAATAGCGAGCAGATGTGCTCACCAAATCAATCATGGGTGGGCGTCAATCAGCTATTATTGAGCTCATTATTCAAAATGGTGTGAATTTATCCTACTCAAGAAACAAAGAAGGAACAGATAAGAATAAATGTAATAGGAAAAGGACTGAAGCATATCCTATATTATCCTCATAGCCTATTTAGAGGACATATCAAATTGTATTGCATATCTCCAAGAACTCACTTGGCCCAAACCAGGCAACTCAAAGATAATTAGTCCATTGAAAAATATGTCATATAAGTCCTTCCATAAGGTATTCCCAGTTCATATCTACATGCAAATTAGCAAAAAATAATTAACAGATTTTTATTACTTCTTATATATAATCAAACCGATATCCAATCTACATACTACCCATAAGAACATCCTAAGCACATACCTGGTATTCTACAAGGGAGCAGGGAGAATATCATCCTGGCCAGAAAATACCTTCAGTGAATATGGATACTACTTCAAACCCATTCCTGAAATGCTTCCAATCACCTATCTATAGTAGCTCCTATTCCTTCTTATATTCACCACATAAAAAAGAGAGGAGAGAGGAAAGAGACAAAACAGTTCCTAGTAAATATCTCTCTGAAAAAAAAATAAATAAAAGCAAATACAGTATGTACTGTATATTGTGCTTCAATATCAACAACAAAGGGGTCCAAGTTCTCCAAATCTGCCTTTATATTTCTTACCTCAGCAAACCCCCACCATGTGCAACCAGACACTACTAAATCACTCTCTCCCCCCTCTTTTTTATGTGGGGACGTATAAGGTGGAATAGGAGC